TAGGAACCAGGCGTCACTGTGACTACAACACAAATATACCATTTTATTTACTATCCAAAACCACCAGTGAACCCGACCGAGTTTTATATAGAATGTTGATGATGAAAAAATAGTGGGAAATCTGAAATATAAAGTTTATGAGGCCTATTTTGCCTCACAGTGCCCTGCACGTAATGCAAATGGTTCTTAAAAATACATTTTGGATCAATATTGTATCTTTTAGCTATCGTAAAACAGTGTCTCAGTCATCAGGCAGTGTATCCATAACCATTTAATGCAATAACTTTCTGTGAGGGAGCTTTTAGAGGTGGACGTCTGGTTCCTATCACCACCACTGTGAACAATTCTGACTCGGTAAGTTGCTCTAGAACAGAGCATTTCACACCAAACCACTCTGAATGACTCTGTTTGCATCTTAAACACTCAATTACGTAGAAATTTAGAAAAATCTATGGAGTTTCCCTTTAACTGCAATGCAGGCCTATAGCATAGGTGTATGTCTGGTTACTATTCTCAATACTATAAGACTCCCTTTGGTGTAAATTAAAAGGGAAGAAAACAGAACAAAAACAGTCCAATCAGGACAAACTGTCAGGATTAGTGTAGAGTAGCAGCTCTCAGGAAGCAATAGCTCATTAACTTTATTAATAACATTAACTTTATTAAAGCCCACTTATTAAGTGTCTCAATCCTAAACTAAATATTATCTGATGCGGTTATACATTTTAAAAACACTGCTATACTAAGCAACACCACCCATTCACAGTGACTGCTTTCTAATGAGTGAGATGCAATACAGCGCAACCAATCAGAGCAGAGCTCGTTTACGTATATCAGTCTTAAAAGGTGCAGGATTTTTTTTTGGCTAAAAGTAATCACCAATGTTAGAAGTCCATCTCAGAGAGAAAAATAAAAATCACACAAAAATGTAGAATATAGACGCTTTATTTCCAATTTTCTTGTATTTTTGAAGTGTTAAAGTGACAAATAACAGTGCCATGTTCTAAAATTCATTTTTACACACCTCAATTAATTAATTTGCATACTGCTATACAACACCGCCCAGCACCAACTGGCCCAAACCCTGCACAGCATCAACACAGCAGCAGAAATACATTAAAAAAAAAGCAGCTAATTGAGCTGAATGACTGATGAATAAACCGAGCAATGCACTCACATCTTGCCTGTATGGAGTTTAACGTAAGCAGCCAAATATTATACAGAAACAGAGTGAAAACTACCATCCATTAATATTTATCAACATGTAGATCATAAAGCAGTTAATGCCAAGTCATGCAGCTGCCCATGTGAGAAACAGCGGCCACTTAACGTTTCAGCTTGTGACACTGTTGCTCTGAGCTTCAGTCGTTTTCATGCAGCGAATGAAAGTCATGCTTCCCATGTGATGACATAACATACACTTTAAAGGTACTTTAAATGCTCACTGAGTCATTGCACCGTCAACGCACTCAGAAAGAGCCTCTGTGGAGCTTCCATACTAATGACCACCACACAATGCTGAATGATTTTGGCAACAGCAGGGATTTCTACACTGGCACAAGGAATGTTCTGATTTCAGCAGTGGCGGCTGGCTTTGGCACCAACGGTAACGATGAAGTTTTGCAGCATAAGTGAACAAGTGCACAGAGAAGCGACTAAATCTACATGTCCAGAAATGCACGACAGGAGGCAGAAAGCTTGAAAAGGCCAATTAAAAGTGCAAAACTGTGTAAAAATGATCTGTAGAGCTGCTTATCTGGGCAGAAGGTGTTTATTTGTTAGTTTATCCCATCAAACCATCATTAAAGGGCCCATATCTTGGAAAATCAGCTTGATTTCATAAAATAGCATAAAAACAGCTGCTCACTTCCCACTCCATGCAATCCATATATGGAAACTAAGCAGCCTCTTTTGAAGTCACTTGTGTGATGTCACAAAAAGCAATGCTTATACCCGCATATTCAGCTTAGAAAAGTTTACCCCTGGTCTTTCACACTGACTGCTTTTTAATGAGTGAGATACAATACAAAGCAGCCAATCAGAGCAGGGCTCATTTACATATAGCAGCCTTAAAGGTGCAGTAGCAAAAATAAGCCTGTTTAATTCTATGGTCATGAAAAAATGATAAAAACAATGATAAAAAAGAGGCCCTTTAAATACTAATTTTCTTTTATGGCTGTATTTTAGAAGTATTTTAGTGACCAATATAAACAGTGCAATGTTCTAAAATATTATTTTATAGATTTTTTGTATACTGCTATAATTTTTGGCCACAAACTCTGCACTTTGGAAAAGTTTGTGCACCCCTGTTCTACGGCATCGCTTCAAATAACTCTTTTTGAGTACCTTCATTTTCTTTAAAAGGAGAATTCAACTCATTTTTCATAATTCAGAGTCTGAGATGTAAACAGAGTGATTCAGAGTGGTTTGGTGTGAAATGGTTCAGATTTCTTAACAGTGGTGGTGATAGGAACCAGGGGTCACCATGACTACAACACAAATATAGACATTTTATTTACTATCCAAAACCACCAGTGAACCTACCCGTGTCTTCTGAGTCTTATATGGAATGTTGATGATGGGAAAATAGAGAAATAAACTTAACCCTAGCTTTAAAACACACTGCATGTGTCCCTCCACCATGAATGAATTAAAGAAAAATATATATTTGAGGTCAAAATTTCATCTTTAAACTATCATAAAACAAAGTCTCTGACATCAGACAGTGTATTCATAACCATTTAATGTAATAACTTTCTGTGAGGGAGCTTTTAGAGGTGGACGTCTGGTTCCTATCACCACCACTGGGAAAAATTCTGACTGTTTAACCATGTAATCATGTCTCCCCTTCAAGAGTGCAGATCTTTATGTATGCAAAACTCGAGGATGTGAGCAGCTGTTAAAGAACTCCGGCTGCACTTGGTTATTTTAGGGATTTCTCCACGGGCCGTGATTACGTAGAGGAAAATCGCCACCCTGCCAAAAAAGCTGGAGAATTTTTCTGCGAATGCGACACCTTTAAGCACACGCCTCTTCCTTCGCCTCCCAACTGCGCACAGCTAATGGTTTCCAGAGGCTGGGTTTTGGCTGTGTGGCCGGCTGAGCAGCCTACGTGGTAGCTGCCTGTTGCATTCCCCTCTTTCCCCGAGTCTGGTAACTCACCACGTCTGCTCAGAATCTCTGAAGTCCATGAGCGCTAGCTCAGTGCACTCAAGAACTTCCTCACAGGCAGACTGTGCTACTTTTGTCTGGTCACATTTGGCTTTCATGCATATTAAACTCACTGACCTTGCCTTGCTGCTGCTTTTTGGACTTTTTTTTTTCTCCCCCTTTTGTTTTATGAGCAACAGTCATGCGTGAAAGCTCAGGGGTTCTCGCCAGGCCCCAGAGAAGAAACGTTCAGGGTTAGAACAGGGGGGAACGTCAGCAAACCTGACTGTGATTTTCAGTCATTTAAACTTCACAACTCACATCTTAGGGCCTATTTACCGAAGAACCAATGGACAAACCTCAACACTGTCACTGTTTTTTGAGAAATGCAGGTTAATGTAGGAATTAGGTGCCACTTCAGGTTCTAGCAAGGCTGACTGTTAAGAGGGGGAACGTTTGATTTGCAGAGAAATTCCACGACAAGGTGAGACGGACCAAACAGAGCCTTTGCACAGCCACTCAGGAGCCGTCCATCGTGCACTTCATGCATTAAAGGGCCCATATCCTGTATTTTTCAGATTTTTCGAGTTCTCTTTATTAGCAGAAAACACTATGTAAACTCTTAGAAAAATGGTTCCTCAATGAAGAAAGTGGTTCTATATAGAACCGTGAACACTCAAAACACGCACGATTAAAGCGTTCTTTGCATGCTGAAATGGTTCTTCAAAATGATACAGAATATGCTGAAGATGGTTCTATATAGTACCAAAAAGGTTTCTGCTACTGTTACAATAGAAGAACCCTTCTGGTGCTATATAGAACCACATACAACACATACTCCATCAATCTGAAAAACCATTTCAGCATGCAAAGAAGCCTTTAATCATGGACTGGGTTCTTTGAGTGTTCACGGTTCTATATAGAACCATTTTCTTTATCAAAGAATGCATGAAGAACCACCTTTGAGAGTGCAGCATTTAATTAAAGAGACCTTATGCACAAGTTGTTGTGCTTTATTAAAGGGCTGTAGTAGGCCACAGCCACCCCATAAACAAAGGCAGTATGTCTTAATCTAACGGAACACTTTATAGGCTAGCCACACCTTCACAATAAGAGTCCCTACCAGAATATCCAAGTGAACAAATGCTGTATAGTACTAACACCCTAAAACCATGCATGCATAATGATTTATACACAAATAAGAGTCTTCTCCTAACTGCTCAGAATAAATTTAAAAAAATGCAAAAGAAAAGAAGAGGCCGTGTCTTTAAGACTGGAATATATGCAAACGACCTTTATTCCAATTTGCATGCTTTATTAAAGACAGGCTGAAACGCTCCTTGTAACTTCAGTGTGAGTGGGAGGGGCCAAGTTTGTGACATCACAAAAATGTTAAATTAAAAAAGGGCTTGCAGCTTTAGCCTCCTTATGTGTACAAACACTGAAACTTCACCCACACACTTGTAGTCGCCAGTACACTTGTTACACTCCTTTAATTCAATCATCAGTTCTCAGCTTTCAGTGATATGGGCCCTTTAATGAAAGTGAGTGAGGGAAAGTCAACCTTTCTTGACAGCCTGTATCGGCAGTGGCTGAGTGGCCACACGTTAGGACATCAATGCACAGACGCAGCGGTCAAACATCACAAACCTGCACGGACAGACTCACTGATTGATCCCCCTCAGTCAGTCTGTCAGGACAAAGCGTGGGCAGCGGCGACTGCGCAACAATGCAACAATATAACAATATAACAGTGCAACAGAAAGAGCGCGGCACCTTGAAAAGGCCAAAAAAAGACAAGAAGAGAAGAGAAGGAGCCATTGTGAAGTTCAGACAGCAGCGCTACTCACCGTCGACAGCCCTGGCTGGAAGAATCACCTCCATGCTGTGCAAAAAGCCCAAGAAGAGCAACCCGACAGCCATCAGATCCGCTGTCAGACGCAACATGTTCTTGTTTGGAGGAAGAAAACAAACAAAAAGAAATGCAAAGCCCCCCAAAGCCCCCCTCAAAGCCCTCACAGACCGGCCGGGTCCAATCCTGCAGAAGGAGCCTGCAGTCTAGGTTCAAAGGCTACTCGTCCCCCCTCTTTTTCTTTCCTTCTTTCTTTCTCTTTTCTTCTGCGCACTTAAAAAATAAACGAGAGCCCCGACAGCCTTCCTCCTCCTCCTCCTCCTCCTCGGTCAGGGATTCCTCGGATGCATGCTTCAGAAAGCTCACAGAGGCGAGAAGAAGTGCAGCGTGCTCACACCATGCCTTTGTCCCGCGGTGACAGCCGGGGAGAAAACAGAGAACAGCGCAGGGCTTTATGTCTCCCCCTCAGCGCCCTCTCTCGCTCTCTCTCTCTCTCTCTCTTTCTCCCTCTCTCACTCGCTCCGCTCCTCCGTTGCTGCTGGCAACGCAGAGAGTGAGGTGCGAGGTCCGACCCTTAACTCAGCTGCCTGCGGTGTGTGACGTCGCAGCAGCCAATGGGCAGCGAGGCAATCTCCTCAGTGAGCCCCTGGCTTATTGGCTGGCGAGGCGGCTTCAGCCAATAAGCGTCGAGCGCGGTGAGAACCACGACGCTGTTGAGGGCGCTCCTCCCTGCCGCCAGAGGCGCTGACCACAATTGTTAGATCGTCTTCTAACAATTTGTCCTACTGAGCATGCGCACATCGCCACCACAGAGTAATTGTGTTTAATGTTAATTCAGCCTGAGCTCGAGTCCGCTGAACAGTCTGCGCCCAGGAACCCTGACGGTGACTGCCATCTCCTCCTCCTCTCAAAACCGTTTACATTATGGCGTCTTACCAGCGGAGGTGAAAGAAGCCGCTTAATATACCCTCTGAATCGGCTTTAAGCGGTGGAGACTTCCTAGCCCTGCTGAAGAAGGACCAGAATGTTCTTCCTAAGTTCACTCATGTTACTCCATGTTTCAGTCTTAAAGGCATGGTTATTTTATTTTTTGCGTTTTTATTAATTTTGAAGAATGAGGAGAAGGCTCTTATTTGTGCATACAATGACATCTCATTAGGAGCATTAATAACCTCAGGATATTTCCATATATTATAGCACGTTTATAATGTTATGCATGTTCGTTTGGGTGTTAGTTCTGTAGCATTTATTCACTGGCTTATTCTGAAAGGGACTCTTATTTTGAAGGCAGGGTTAGCTCATAGTATCTTCCATTAGGACAAATTCCTTTTGTTTACAGGGTGGCTGTGGCCAACTACAGCCCCTTAATAAAGCACAACAACTTGTGCATAAGCTGGGTCTCTTTAATAGCAGGAAATGTTATACTCTTAAAAAAGGTGGTTCTTCAAGGGTTGTTTAGTAAAGAAAATGGTTCTATATGGAACCATTAGCACTCAAAGAACTCTTTTCCCTTTGCATGATTTCCTAGCATCATGAAAGCATTCTTCAGATTGATGGAGACTATACTACAGATGGTTCTATATACACAGTTTTGAAAAGGGTTCTATATAGTACCAGAAAGGGTTCTTCTATTGTTACAAGCTTGACATCATAATTGTAACCATAGTAGAGCCCTTTTCAAAAAGGTGCTATTTTGAAACATCTACAGTACATTCTCCATCAATCTGAGGAACCATTTCATGGTGCAAAGATCCCTTTAATCATGCAAAGGGTCCTTTGAGTGTTTATGGTTTCTTTACTAAAGAACCTTTAAAGAACCATTATTTTTAAGGGTGTACGATACACCTGTTAAATCTTACACTTTACATTACACACTCAAAAAAAAGATGGTTCTTCAAGGGTTTTTTAGTAAAGAAAATGGTTCTAGATAGAACCATTAACCTTTATATGCTTAAAGGGTTCTTTGTATCATGAAAGGGTTCTTCAGATTGATGGAGACTATGCTGCAGATGGTTCTATATAGCACTGTTTTGAAAAGGGCATATCTATTGTTACCATAGTAGAACCCTTTTTGGTGCTATATAGAACTCTTTTCAAAGATGTGCTATATAGAAATGTCTACAGCACTTTCTCCACCAATCTGAAAAACTCTTTCATGATGCAAAGAACCCTTTAATCATGCAAAGGTAATGCTAACCAATCAGCACTCAGTAGCAGTAATTCCAACCAATTAGCACTCAGTAGCAGTCATGCTAACCAATCAGCACTCAGTAGCAGTAATTCCAACCAATTAGCACTCAGTTGCAGTCATGCTAACCAATCAGCACTCAGTAGCAGTAATGCCAATCAATCAGGACTCAGTAGCCGTAATGCTAACCAATCAGCACTCAGTAGCAGTAATGCTAGCCAGTCAGCTCTCAATAGCAGTAATGTTAGCATCCTGCTGATGGGTTAAGTTTGTTTTGGAGTGAAACCTTTAGTGGTTCGGCTCTGGTTTGCCGACCGTAACTGAGTCTTGTACAGTGGATAGAGATTAGATGAAGCTAAAGTAGCTTCTCTGTTTCATCTTAAATGATGTAGCAGTTACATGCAGACATCGGTACAGGTGCTAACGTATTATCACTGCATTATTTAAGGTATAACGGAAATCCGAATAAGTAGCTAACATCAGCCTCGAGAGATTAGCTTGTCAAATTCAGTGCACAGATATGAATCTGTTTCTGATACAGCAGCAGTGCTCTCCTTTTTAGCAGTACCAATGAAGCCGTTTTCAAACATGAATCATGTGAAGATGGAGAGCAGTGGCAAGAACTGCAAAAAACAAAAATGAAGAAGACCAAGAAAACAAGAATGAAGGCTATTTAAGGAGGATGAGGACATATCCGAGCAGGTAGGTAAGGAGAAATGCTGACCTGAACTTACTTAGCTAGCAATAACTTGTGGCACGTTCATGATTGTTTCACATTTAATATAAAATCTTTCAGCAGTTTGCATTGTATCACTAGCGAGTTATCTCAGTGTAGCATGTAAATAATAAATAAGATTAAGATAGGAAAAAGAGGAAATGCTTAGGTCCCAAATGTGGAACACCTTCTATAGCTCTGGCTGTTACCGTTGGTTTCCTTCCACTAGGGCAGGGGTGCTTCAGTTCTGGAGGGCAAGTGTCCAGCAAAGTTTGGTGATTTACCTGCTCAAACGCACCTGATTAGATTTCTGTCAATTACAAGGTTTAGCAGGTGTGTTTGAATAGGGAGACCTCCAAATTGTGCTGGACACAGACCCTTCAGGACTTCGGGTGTGCACTCCTGTACCGGAGCCTTTACAATTCGCTGCTGTCGGAAGAAAACCTCGTATCTCCAATCTTTTAATTTTTCAGTTTTTTAAATAATTTAAAAATGCCTGTTGTCCTTTATATTGTGTGTAAATTTCATGAAGAATAGGCCAAAAGAAACAGCCCAAAATGACTTGGAAACATGTCTGGTTCCATTGACTTACATGAAAAGGAAAGCAGGTTTTTTCCTTCTCCTGTAAAGTTATCATTTTGGAGATAAGAGATTTTCTTATGACAACAGCAAACTATTAACCCTGACTAAAAGCACTCTAAATATATTTTGGACATGCTGTCGATCCATTAATCTAACAACAATTGCTAAATGTTAAACCGCTGGTTTCCTCAGGCTAGCACCCCCAGTCATAGCCGACTGTTAGTCATGATGGCAAACTCTAGAGCAGCGGTCGGCAACCCAAATGCTAAGAAGAGCCATTTTGTCCTTACAACAAAAATCAAACCACCTTGGGAGCCACAACATTTTATGGCTGTAATTATTTCTCAGTATATGCTAATGTACTAGTATAGACTAAAATATAAACGAAAACGCAGACTTATTTTGCTCTGCTTTAAGCTTTAGCTGAGCTATAGCTGCTTTCCCGCATCTCCAGCAGGAAACTTTTCTTCAAAAGTAGAATAGTTTCTCATAAAATTACTTTCAACGTTTGATTTTTTCCAAGGCTGAAGTCAGCTTCTCATTCGCCAGCTTCTTGTTCTAATTGTTACGTTCCACTTCAAGTGGTGCCTTAGGCGCCGGAATGTGACTGCTGCACTATTTAAGGTGGAACGGGAAAATTCGAACAAGAAGCCGGCGAATGAGAAACAGACTTCAGCTTTGTGACTTTTTAGTGTTTGACAGTTTCTTGTTTCAGATTAAATGTATCAGGAAACCAGCTGGAGTGATTATAAATACAAATCCATTCATCTGTAAATGATCAACGTTCGTCTTGATCATTTACGCTGTTTTCTGTGTTGCTATGATGGCCAGAATCTGTGCACCAATCTTCAAGGTTAAAGTGTGAATTAGCAGAGATAGGCTACATTAACTCCAGCGTTTAAGACCATTTATTGTTAAAACTGTGTTAGAATGATCAGCAGAGCTTTATTTTACTGCAAAGGAGGAATATTTCATTTTTATCTAAAACTCTAATTCCGCGACATGGCAGTAAATGAGCCACATGTGGCTCCAGACCGACATGTTGCTGACCCCTGGTCTAGAGTCCCTGCTTACACACTGGCTTGAGTCATTAATACTGGTCTCTTTGAAATACTCAGAGCCTATCATGATCTAATTGTAATCATACTGCCATCGGAATATTATCAGAGTCTACTGGCACCTTAACATGGCGCTTCCTTTAACACAAGACTAACCGCTAGCCACTACTTTAGGTGAGCCTTAGAGCTGTGCCCAGCGAGCATCAGTCAGCCTCTCACACCATGTTTACCCAGGCCTTTGCAATTGTGTTAGCTCTGTTGCACCACTACATGGCCATTATCTTGATCAGGAGCTTTGGAGATCTGCATATTGGCAGTATTTTATCTTGCTTTCGTGCCATTTTCTGTACTGGGAAGAATGTCTGTTTCATCACATGTTGCACCTAGCAGAGCATTCCCTATACTGAGCGCCATCAAACTGACCCTAGCCCAATTAGGCCTAGATATCTAGTAGCCTCTTTTCATTTGCTTCTTTCATTTCATTGTATAAAGTTTATATTGACAAGTATAGCAAACAAAAAAAAACTTTATATAAGTCAGAAACAAATCTAAACAGTGATTTTTCAGTGCAAACCGTGTGCTTATTCGATATTTGCAATGTTCTGTGGTGAAAATAAGCTTAATACAGCACTGCACGCTGCTGGCCACAGAAAGCCATGTTAGCCAGACCGTACGTGATGCATATGGTTTTCATGTATATTGTTCAAATCATTATTTTGCAAGCTTTATGCACACTGTAAGTTCATGAATACCGTAAACAGAGCATATAGAGTGAAAAGCATGTAGGTTTTGATCGGCAGGTAGATCTGCGGGAGCGATTGCCGCTGGTCTCATGTTATGTGATTTTCTCTGGGCAGGTAAGCGGTGTACTCTCTGTTCTTTAATTTTTTTATTACTCCTCTTTAAAGACTGCAGCTGATGTAATAACAGTATAAGACATGGTAAAAATGGTTTCAATGTGTATTATTCTACAATTACATGTCTAGTCTACGTTTCTCTTAAGCTGCAGCTCCACTTGTTGCCC